TCTTTTGCTGCTCTTTCTGAGGTTTTACCATTTTTTCCCCCTGTCTTTTGGTGTTTGGAAACTTTTTCCTTTCCAAATAAAGGATCTGGGTGTAGAGGGTGTCAGTTGTCTCATATTTGTTAAGTCCTCTAAGCAACACTTAGGATTTTGGTCTTTATAAAAACGGCTAAAAGCTCCTGTGAGGGACTTTACGTTCGTGTTGATTTTGGTCTTTTCTGATTATGAAGTAATGTTTTCTGATGGAAAATCTCATCCTACTTTTTTTTAATAGGTAACTTCAGCATTCATTGAGAATCTTTGCTTTGAAATCGTTAAAAACTATTATATGCAATATCATGTCACTGATGGGTATGTTGACTTTTGTAGGTCTTAAAAGAGGTATCACTATTCATTTCAGCATGTTTCATGACCAGTTAAAATCTCCTCACAACAGCTTAAACAAAAGCTCTGCCAAATAAAATGTTGTACTGAATGATACTGAGCTCAGGAGGATTTTCAAGGTTGAAAAAGTAGTCATCGTTTATAAATACCCCAGTGTTCAAGAGTTTCTGATTTATTTCTTAAAACTTTGTGTTAAACAAATCGAGAAGAACAATTGCAACAAAGCAAACACAATTTTCATTCGATGTAAATGTTCAAGAGGAAATCTTATGTACAATCATAACTTAAATATGTAACAGTGATTTTGTAGAGTGTAAAAGACAATTGCTTGTGCCAATGTATAGTTAGTGTTTTAATTGACTTCTTCACAGACACATGAACAGGAAATGAGAACACGTGCTCACCACAAAGCTCACCGTACTGCGCACACATCTGCTCAGCAACATGGCAATCACAAGAGGAACACGGGCATCACAAGATATGGTCAGTTGATTATTTACAATATGCATGATGAGTTGACACAATGCATGCAGATTTAGAAAAGGTTGTCTAAAGCTTGGAGAAGCTACTATAAAAAAAAAACCTTTAAACACACGTGCACACTGAGCCAATATAAATCATGATGACAGATGACAGGATAAAAATCACACATTTTCAAATATCTCAAGTAAAGTTTGACTTCTATGCCCAAGGGATAAAAATGTTTAGGTGATGGTCACAATGACCATTCAGTATCTGATTTGTTCCCTGACTGGTAGAGTGAGCCTGTGTTTGTGTGTCTGTGTAAGGTGGATGTTATACACAGGTGAAAAGAGAGAATACAGAGACCGTTAGATCAGAGGTCGAAAGCATACAACAAAAAAACTGTCATCTCAGATCCTCTTTGATCACAGATTCATCTCTTTCAAAGGATGCTGCTACACAGAAACCACTGCTGAAGCAAAACGTTAGCCTCCCCCTCAGTTTCTTTGAGTCAGAATTTGAAAAAATAATCCTCTGTAAGAAACAGCATGAAGTAAGAGAGCCAGAGTAATTCAAGTTCTGAACATTATAATGCAAAAAAAAATCTAAAATGATGATAAAACTCCCAGTTTTTTTTTAACTGAACTGGGATTTTCTTAACGGATTTACTTGTCTTTCCAACACTGCACTGAACATATTAAGGAAACAATATATTTCGGCTTTTAAAGACAGATTAGAGTTACACAACTTAAGTCAGTATTATCACACCATATACAATGTTTTCAATTAACACTGGAAGGGTTCTTTTAAATAGAAATGTAACCTGACATCTGTGCATTCTCTCATCTTATACAATCAGAGTTATAGTGACTCACTGAGTTTTGCCCTGATCTGATATACTGCAACTTCCAATCACCACAAACCCAAATCAGGTCGAAATTAACAACACCCAAAACACATACATCGGACCACATCAAGTTCATGACCTTTTCTACAGCTGCTGCTCTCTTTATACCCAACTTAGTCTTTCCTCTGTGCCATCAAGCAGACCCAAACCACCTGAAGTATAACCAAAATGTCGAAAACCTCTTGTCGAAAAATGTCGTACCTCTTTTAAACGACCATCTCTTCATCCAGAGTTTGGAGAATGATGGCCAGGAGTGGTTAAGAGGAGATTCAGCCATGGCAGCAGAACAGCAGGAAGGCCAGCTGAGACTGGAGCTTGCTCACACTGGAGCTCTGGCACCCAGCGAGAGGAGGAAGGGGGGGGGGAGCAAAGAGAGAGGGCAGGACGGGGGAGAGGAGGGACGGCGGGGGGAGGCGAGAAAGAGTAAGGCAAGAAAGAGGAGGCTGGCGATTTAGAAATCACCCCCCGGAGGAGAGACAAAAAGAGCAAGAAAGCAAAAAAGGGGGAGAAAAGTTGACAGGGAGCAAAAAGGAGGAGTGATGGATGACGTACTCCACGGAAAAAGCATTTTGGGCTCCTTCTCAGATGTCTGCGAGTTGTAAGCAGTTCCATCCGAGACATCCCCCTCTTAGCCCCTCTGAAAGTTTTATTTGAATGAACTATACGTAAACGGGGTACAAGAGAAGGAGGGAAAAAATGACGTAAATATGTGAAGCAGATTTCTTTCACTTTTCATAAATCTTCTCACCACTCCCTAAACATTATATTTGGAGGGTCCCGGTAACCAATGAGCTAATAACCTGTCTGTATAAGCACTAGTTGTAGCTGCACCTGGATCACCTTCAACAGTAGGCTCATTTACCAATTGATCAGTTGCAGCAGCCATGTAATTTGCATATTTGAGGTAGTTTTAGGACTTTAATATGCAGAAATGTTATCTGTTTTAGAGAGTCTATTTTTTTTTGTACTGTTGCAACATTTCCAACACTGCTAAATGCACGTCAACAGAGCAGGAGGAAGATCAGCCATGGATGTTTTTAGACGCAGCAGTAAACAGAGAAGCAGTAAAGGAAGGCATTGTGTGCTTTAAATGTCTAATTTCTCAATCAACACACAGAAAATAAGTTAAAGGCCTAAAAAAAAACTAGGGTGTAACTTTTCCAGACCAGTTTTAAATGTACTATTGTTTTGAGGAAACAAAGCAGAGACATAAAAGAGAAGGAAGTATACGCAATGAAAGCATAGGGTAAGGATGTATTCCGTTTTTTTTTTCTTATTTTGAGTCACAGGGGCACAAACTACCACATCCTTTGTGAAGAAGGAACACAAGCGAAGTCTTTTAAAAATGCAAAAACAAACTGTGCAGATGAATGATCACTTCAGAGGAGGGAACATTTCCCCTAGCTGCTTCAGCTTGTAGACACAGAGCCTGACAGTGGTTGCAACCATTTTTGCTTCTTAATTTGCACAAGTGTAACTATGGATGACCATCAAGTTCAGCTCACTGCACATCGAGGGGAAAAGTCTCCTGACTTTCCCACAGACAGAGGAGGCAGTGCACTGGCACGAATAATGCAAGAAGTAATCTATGAAAGGCAGAGTATATCTCACATTTCAAACAACGATGAAGCATGACGACCACTAACTCAGAACCAAGACAAGCAAAATAAACTATACTTACATAGAATGATAGATAGGAAAGAGATGGCAGCTTGTAAATCCAGGAACAGTGGAGAAGAGCTGTTTTAAAGTCATTCAGGGCTGACTGTGTTTAGCTGTGTGAACGCCTGTGCCTACCTCACTCTGACAACAGAGAACCAGCTTCCTCTTTTCTCTTTCTAAACAGCTGAGAAAGACGTGCAGCTGAGCGGCCCACAAAAACATGCTGCTATGGAAAGTATGGTGGCTGCTTCACACTCTGAATAAAGCAGCACCTTAGCACCAATGCCACAAAGTGGAAAACATGTCATTGTGTTACCAGTTAACAGGTCAACACATCATGGATACATTAATTAAACTTACATTAATGTGTGTATTTCTTTATATAATGTGCAAGAATGTTTAAATTTGAGTGTGTGTTTTAGTTTTTTGGGTGAAAATAACTACGAGGTACAAGGTGTTGTGTGTGTGTGCACGCATGTGAGCGTGCAAGAGACAAGGGGGATACATGTTGCAATAAAATAAAATGAGAGCACAAACACCAGTCATTACATTATATTCTTATCTCATAAATCCATTCAGCTTCACTGTAAGACGTCATGTTCTAGAGAAACAGGAGGTGATGTGTCTGTCTGTGGTTTTTGTCAGAGTCTTAACTGCAGCAGTCTCACATCTTGACTTCATGTTGACTGTGTCACTGCCCTGTCTGCTCTTATTCTGAGGTCCGTTTGTGTGAACTCTAAAGATCACATGAATAAGGTGTCAGGCCTGATGTTTCCATATGACATGTCATTTACAAGCAGCTAATGTGTACCATGAAAGAAAAAGGGACCCTTTAACAATGTGTTGTAGAAATGAGGGAACTTATTATTGTGAGTAGGTGTCATAACATTTGTTGTGAACTTCACTTTTTCCTTGAGGTGTATTTTCATGAACATGAAGTAGATTTTGACTCAAATAATCACGTTTGAGTTTTGTGTGTTGATTTTCTTGCTTTTTTTTTTTAAATGCATCTTTATGTGGTGTGTGTTTAATTGTCATGAACTCAATGGAACAGACATGCATTTTCTTCTGATGCCACATAATCATTGAACGCCCAACAGCAAACTCTCAAGATTAGAGTTCTTCACTCTCTTCCAGAGTTTAGGATTTTGATTTCTAGCCACTTTGTTTCAATTTTTCTTTGGAATTGATTATAATGTTTGTTGTCTTTTTTGCTCGTAATCTCGACGACATTGGAAATGAGAAAGACCACAATGGTCTTAAACTGCTGGCAGGGGGGGGGGCAGCTTTTTGTGTCTTCATTGGAGAGATATGACTTTGGATGGAGCCAGGAATAAGGGAGGGAGAGAGTGGGGAGCAACAGGTCAGATTCAAACCTGAGGACCTCCGTGCATGGGGCGCACGCACTAACCACTGCACCACCAGCACCCCCTGACAAGACTGCTCTTGAGCACCCAGGTCATGTGATATTAACATTTCAGAGGTAAGCAGAAAGGGCTCTAGAAGAGTAGCTCGCTTGTTTGAAAGAGAATAAAGACTTTTCTGTCTATATAATTCAATCCACAGGTAAGAAGCGCGAGAAGACACATATTCTCCAATAATTTTATTCATAATTTTAATATAAACAGTTAATTGTTGAATAATTTACACACAGCAAGATTTTATTTTCATATCATTGCAACATTTTCTGTACATGTCACTACTTGGCTCTCCTTTGAAAACATAGAAAAAATAAATTGTCAAGCGTTCATTTAGTCATGGCACATTTTTGATCCTGTACAATATGCATGTATTTCTGTCTCTCTGTGTGTGTGTGTGTGTGTGTATGTGTGTTCAATATGTTGATATACATAAAGATAATGGCACATTTGGATCCAGTGTGAGGGATGAAGCGATCTCTGCGGGTTGCGGGTTTTGGACTGTACATACACACATATACACCTGCTGTCTGCATACGCATCGATGTCTCAACATAATGTATACATAACATATTCCAAAAAAAATTAATACATCAGCATATTCATCGGCAATAAATGACATTTATAAAGAGGTATCCTGCAAGACTACACACAGCATTCTGGGGACCACCTATGTGCACTGAGGAGAGAAAGAGGACACAGAAAGGAGGAGGAGGAGGAGGAGGAGGAGGAGGAGGAGGAGGAGGAGGAGGAGCAGCAATCAGAGACAAGAAAGCTGTGATAAAGACTTCAACCAAGGACAACACAGACAGGACTCCATAGAATTCAACAACACACAGCACAGGGAACAGGACAGAGATAAATAGAAGGTATCTGTGTGTAAACTGGAGCAGACCACTGGACTGACAGATGACTCCTAAAACTGAAGAAGAGGTTGCTTTTCCTCAGACTGTCTGTCAACGGTTGATCTCTCCCTAATTGATAAGACAAAATCCAACAGGTCATCATTACACTTCTGACAGACAGCACTCACTTCAATCTTAACCTGAAGGTGGATCACCTTTACGCTGAGCCTTTAGAAGGAACAGTTTCGGAATTAAGTTGGATTGCTCGTATGTCAGTCACATTAATGTCTCAACTAGCTGACTCTTAGCTTAGCATAAGGGGAAACTGCTAGCCTGTCTCTTTCCAAAAGTATTAACGATTTCCTGGAAACATTTCTGGACTAACTTATACACTTGTTTCACCTTATTATTGTTTAGGCCCTTTAGATTAAACACACAACTACAATGACATTATTTGACCAATTGTCTGGCAATTTCAAAACGTTTTTTTCTTACATTTAGGAGTTTTCACATGTTAACTTTCCAGTCACCATAACACTACGGAATCTGGTAGAGAGATTTTAGAACTTTTTGTCAGAGCCACACTCTCAGTTTCTGTCTTTTTATTCAAAGCTAAAGCTAATGAGAGGCTGCCACTTATTTTCAATGTCCTCTTTTTTAAAAATTTTTTTTTTTACCTCTGAGCAAGAAAACAAATACCGGTAAGCATATTTTCCAAAATGTCTCACCCTCATCCTGAAACATCTCCAACTTTACAGCCTAAACCTAAAGACATACGGTTGTTGATCATCATTGAAATATTCTTTTTTTTTTTTTTTTTTTAGCTTATTAAGGGTTTTATCACTAATGTTTCCTCTTCTTCAAAAAGGATGTGCAGTGGTCTTTCCAGTTTTCACATACAAAATAAAAACACATTTGCAAACAAAAACACATCTTTTGTCAGAAACAATTTCATATAACAACATCTGTGATGGGTGACATATCTGTGACATGATAAAAGGCTTTTCGGGTGACATGCTGCTGTAGCGGGGCGGTTGGGGTAAATGCACAACTTCCTGCTGAACGACCAACATTTGGAACATGCATCAGAGCTGGGGTTGATTTTGAGTGATTCAGGGCCACATACTGTTAACGCCTTCTTTCAACAGAAGTAAGCCCTCAGAATGCAGCTGTGCAGCTCCTGTTAAAGACACGGGCAGACTCCACTGCTTCTCTGTGTAGTGGGTTGTGATACGAGAACAACGACAAAACGAAACAAAAACATCCATCTTTAAAATTAAAAAAAAAAAAAGTTATATACACATCGATAACAATGTTAAATTCATAACGTACAAGAGTAATAAAAGTACAGTCAGATAAAGTAATTGGATTTGCCCTCCATACTTTGGCAAAAAAAAAAAAATAGAAATCAACATCTCTAAAATGTAATACTTTTTTCTTTTCTTTAAAACAAAACAATAATACATACAATGCTTTGTCCGCACCCTGCGCTTTCCCTACAAGCATGCTCTGTCCAACCACTTATTAGGTCATCAGAGGTGAACAAAATGAGCCCAAACTTCCCTAAAGTCAAGTGCTTTTGTTTTCCAGGGGGCAAAAGGGGGTCTCTTTACTTTTTTTTTTTTCAGTGAAGAGCTTATGAATCTAATCGCAGAAAAACTGAAAGCATTTCAAATAGAAATACCCAATTTTAATGCAAGTATTCTAATCATGGAGTTTGTGCATGTGCTTTGGGGCATCGCTGCTGTCAACAAAGACTGATGAGAAGCAAAATCAGTAAGCATGAAATAATCAAGCTACCTGCTGGTAAAGATCATTCATTTCCATGCACAAAGCAAGCTAGAGCTTACCAAAGAAGAGACACAAGTTCAACACTTCTCTATTGGAGAAAACATCGGTCCTATCACCCAATTTACAGTATTTTCCCACCGAGCAGGTTGATAATTTTACCTGCAGAATACTTAAAATATTTTTGTTTTTTTCCTTTTCATGTCAGGAGGAGGAAAATCCTCTTCAACGATTGGTGGAGACATGCCAGTCAGCGGCTGTTCTGCTCTGGGCGGGAGGGGAGTCAGGGGGGCTGTTAAGTCTGAGCAAGGCACTATGGGTCATGGGAGGCCCTGTTTGCTTTGCCACCCCTGAACCTGCTATGCTCCCATCCAACCTCTAGAGAGCAGTCCAGACCACAATCAAATCAGAGTCAGGGAAAGGAAATGATCTCATTGGGGCAAAAAGATTTTAGATATTTTTGGAAATAGGGATCTTTGTTTTGCTCTTGCAAGGATGCTGGAGAATTTCCGTTTCAGTCAGAGAAGGTCAAAGGTAAGTAGATATCTTCTTCCTCCTCATCCTCCAAAAAAAAAAGACTCAGGCTGCCCCCATGAGACAAGAAGTTACAATTTAGATTTCATGTCTGTTAAAAGTTAATATGGCACACAGGATTGTCCCAGTTCAGCTTTTTCTTTTCCCTCTCCCTCTCCAGGGGAGAGAGGGACAGTGAGAGGGTGGGGAAGTCTGATCAGCCAAAACAGAACCAACCCATGGCATTGACAGAAAATAAAGGTCATCTCTTGATATTCACAGTAGAAGAAATATATATACAAAACAAAAATCAGAACAGAGAAACAGACTAAACAAACAAAACCAACAAGGACTGGAGGAGACGTGGGAATTGAACCCTAACTGTTTAGAAGAGGAGTCGAGGCTTTCTGCAAGACAACAGGTTCAGTTTTGATGTGATATAAAAAAAACTCAGTGATCACAGATATGCAGTGAGAGTAAGGATACTCATGCCAGAAATACAGTTGAACCGCTACACTTAAAGCACAATCGTGTATTTGGAGAAGGGGAATACAAAGCCTCAAGCTACTCTGCTTCTTCCAGTGCCCAGGGGGGAAGCCTCTTGTGAGTCATTTTATAAACAATACAAATAAACTTTGTAGAGGAAGTCAATTTACTGCCCAATTTCTCTACTAATGTATTATTCATAATATTATAAGGGCCAGGGCTAAAAATGATAAGGTTTAAGGTATCCCTGTTAGAGGGCTATTTGTCAGCAGTAAAAACATCCGACCAACCAACAACCAACAAACCAGATAACGAGAGGGATACTGATTGTGTATCCTGAAAGTTGTTTCAGAAATCGGTCACATCTGACAGGAAATGAGCTTTAAAAATCAAGCCATTTCAAACAGAAGCAAACCAAATTTTAGGAGTCTTGCTCCAAATAATTTCCACTTCTTCCAGGGGTCATAGAAAGCTTCCCTCTGGGGCAAAAGATGAAGAAAAAACGACTGAAACAAGGAGGAAGGAGGGGTTTAGATGATACCACAGGTGAAAGGAATTGATCAGCAGTGTTGGTAATGTTTGATAAGGTGATATTTGTCATGAAGGGATATATTAAGTGACTGACTGGGGGAATATTTAGGCTCTTTAGACTGATTCCTCCATATGCACTGAGGTAGACTCTGGCCAAACACAAAGACAACAACATTTCAAAACTAAGAAATGGACTAACTAGCACTCCTGCTGCTCACCCACCAGCTACTACACCTGTACAATAACAAACGTTTACATCGCTTCACTCTCAAAACACCTTAAAAATGCGTGACTAAAAAGCTAACTGTGTTTTTCTTACACAATGACAATGATCATAATAAAATAAATATCTGGTATTTCAAAGATATGGGCACCATCGTAATTAAAAATTGCATATGCGTGTGAAGACCACCACAAGATAAGCAACCTAGGTCGAGGTGGAGACGAGAGCTGTGTCCTATTTCCATACTAAATACTGAGTCTACGTTGACTATGTAGTGAGTTTGACTGGAAGATTGAAGGCGTACTAAAACAGTGTACTTTTAAGATCGAGACTAAGTATATCGTATGAAAGTTTGACACAGCTAAGTTACACCATTTTTCTGTCATGTATGCAAACTGACGGGCATCGTCATTTCTTCTTTTTTTTTTTTTCTATAAATCTTTTTTTCTGCTTTTATTTTCCAAACTATGTCACAGATTATTTACAAAGTACAAAAGCCCAAAGATTGTAACTCCTTGGAATAATTAGCTTAAAATCTACATCATAACCTCAGGCGCCTCTAAGTGCCAACAGCTCAGACTCTGGCCGCTCTGCAGTGTCACTGCACGAGCACAGGGAGAACATAAACGTTCAAACCTTACGCTGGCAAACAAGCCCAGATAAAAAAATTTAAAAAAAAGTTAAAGAAGAAAATCAACCAATACAGCCAACAGGGATGACTTCTCTTACAGCGAGGGACACACCCTACAAACACAAATGCAGATGCAGCTTGGATTTTATTTTGTGTCTCTTGCCTTGAGAAAAAAATACAGAGAGAGCATAGAGGCCTTTCTATGTTTGTGTGTGTGCGTGTGTTTTACTAGCCAATGCAGCTAGTCTGGACGTGGCTCTGGGTTGGAGAAGGCACTGTTATAGTATGGAGGCAGCTTCTCTGCTTTCTCTGATTCTGTGGATTCTCCTTGTTGACAGAAAGCTGCCCTAATTTTGGCTAAACTATACATGCTGAGCGCTGCTCGGATAGATTGGCAACCTCATGGTTCTGTGAGTCCAGAAATGGAAAAAATAAAATAAAATAAAAAGGTTCATCTCTACATGTCATATGCCATATTTCACTTCCCACGTCATTGAATGCTGTGGTTAGACAGTGAGAGGAGAATATCTGCTGTGTGACTCTGAATGAAGGACCTTTGTCATTGTCAAAATAAGACTGAGGACAATGAGTAAGGGTACAGATAACAGGAATGTTTCTCATTCCCAGAGGGAGGGACAAACTAAAGATTGAAGAAGAAAAAAACAAAGCCTTTTGTGGGTTTATTCTGACTCTGATGGTGTGTGTTGATGGCATCAGCTTTACGAGCAGTCAGGCGAAAAAACAGAGGAAATGAAGGAACAAGGAGTTCCAACATAACCCTGTAATGTCAGACCTGAGTGAAATAGCTGCTGCACACTGTGTCCTGACTGCATGTGATGGCAGAGAAAATAATAGGATTAACAATTGCTCACACACTCCCTCTCTCTCTCTCAGACACACTGAAAGATAGAGACACAGAGAGAGAGAATGTCCCCCTTTCTCTCTCACTTCACTACCTGCTGTGGACTGAACACAGTTGGAATTTTCCGTATATTTCTCCAGCCCTTTCTACATCTCTCCACCCCTCGACCACAAAACGTGGAAATTTCCAGCAGCCTGATTTTGAGCAGTGAGCTCAGCAGCCAATGGGAAGAGCTGAGTAGGGGAGAGTGTGCAGGAGGTGTGTGTGGTGCAGAGGAGAGCTCTAACAGGGAGAGGAGAACATTATGTGTCAAATCAAAGAAAAGCAACCATCTTAAAGGTAGATTACAGGTCAGATGGGAAGGGAACGCTACTGCTCTCTGATTTAAATGAAGAAGGCTTTTATAATAAAGAGAAAATTGTCCACTGCACCTGCACTTTGCTTAGGGCTTAGGTATTAAGCCCCCCCCCCCCCACACACACACACACACACAACTGATAAGCCATAACTGTTACACTAACACACAAAAGTACATTCACCAGGCCAGGACAAAGCTTTCCACACTCTCTAACCTCTCTGAGAGTTCACAACAATCACGTGAAAGACGCAATAAACCAGCAATAACAGACACATAAAAACCTCCCGCGTGACCCGACCAGAGAGAGAGAGAGAGAGAGCGAAAGAGAGAGAGAGCGACAGCAGACTAACACTCATCAGGTGCACTTCTACCTAGAAAGACCTCTTTCCCATTTTATATAGCTTTTTTTTGGTTATTCCATTTTTAAACTTCCTGTCGATGTTGTAGTTAAGGTGCCTCCAAATGCTGAAAGCTCTCAGTGGGGCCGAGGTTTATAGAAAAGGATGCAGTCAGTTGACAATATCTGAGGGCTTTGGAGGCCTAAGACACAGAGAGCACTGATGGTAGATTAGTGTGATTGTTGGGGCTATAAAATTACGAAAATTTAGAAAACCAGAAAGAAAAAAACAAAAAACTGGCAAAACAAAAATACCAGCAAAGCTTCTGATGAAAAATATTACAAATATGGCCAACACGCACAAACTATTTACAAAACATCAATATGTCATATATTATATATCAAATATTGGTACTTAAAACACCAATATTCCATATATACTATATATATTATATTTATTTATATATTCTATACCCACTAAAATATATCAAAGCAGCAGCTATTGGTCAGTCTGAGGAACTCCTTTGTCCAATTCTTAACTGTTTAAATATCCTTCAGCCATATAGTGAGGACACAGAAATAAAACTGAGAAAGAAGAGAAGAAAAGAGAAAACAACAATAAAAGCAAATAAATTAAAACCTATTCACCAAACACCCGATGAATCTGTGTGTAGTTTGGAATTCTGCAGAACAAAAAAAAAGGAAAAAAGAAAAAGAAAACATTCCTCTAGGAATAGATGTTTGTTCTAGGATCAAGTCTTTGCAAGTCATCCCACCGTTCCAAACTGATTAAGTCATTGTTCAAAAAAGGAAATTAGTATAAGCGCTGTAGACACTTATCTTTGTTTATAGGCCACGTACAAAAAGGCCACTATCTGAGTAACAAGATTTCACTTGGAGAAACAAACACAAAGCAGAGAGATGTGGAAATGCAGATTGATGATGGGGAGAAAAAGAGGGGACAAGTCTTGAGGAGGTTGAGCATAAGCAGCCATCTTGGTTGTCTAAGGTTTGTTGTGTTCACAGTTTTTCTTTTTCTTTAAATGTTTCCCTCACAAGGAGTCCTGGAAACGTGGCATTAGTGAAAAACAATAGATTGGTAATATTGTAATAGAAAATCCGATGTGTTGTGGAGGAAGTAAAAAAAAGTGTTACACCATGTTTGCATCCCTTGCTTGCCTGTGTGTCGGCAGCTGTGAGAAAGAAAATAAAAAGTCCTGAGATCTGTGTTGTTGTTTTTTGACGGGTTCTCTAAGAATAATCAATCATTAGAAAATGATGCGAGGAACATGAAGGATACAGAAAAAAATGGACTGGAAGAGAAAGAAGGATGGGAAGTGGAAGGGGATAAGTTTAACAAGTTCTTCTAGGAAACAGGAAATGTTAGGAAGGGCTGGATCTGGGCAACGATAAGATTCGTCCGTTTTTCTTGCCACCGTTCATGTGTGTGTAGGGGACATGTTCCTCATAGTTCCCCCTTAGGGCCACCGAGGGCCCGCTGTCCCTGCCTAAGCTCTCCTCTCTCTGCGAGTAAGAAGACGGGTCCAGAGGGATGCTCTCCATGTTGTCCAGGTCTAGATCAAACTCCTCTGTCTCTGGGACTTTGTTCTCCTCGCTGTAGAAGAAGGACAACTCCTGGAAAGACGGGTGCAAGTCCTCCCGCAGCATCTCGATGATCTCGTGGAACATCGGTCGCATCTTGGGGTTGTACTGCCAGCACATCTGCATTAGGCTGTGCCTGGCAGAGCGAAGAAAGAACACAAAACCTTAACATGTGGAAAATTCCTGAGTCCTATCTACTTGTCTTTTTTTATTCAGTATAGCAATTGGCTCCCTGGTTTTATCTGGAATTTCAATGCAAGTCATCATGTGACACACTGTGTGTCACTTTATCTAGGCAGGATACAGGGCAGCAAAAAAGCCCAGTAAAAAATACCCAAACAATCAGTTGTTTGTGTTATTTATTTAAGAAATTGATTTAATTTAGTTTGTAAAATTACCCATAAAATAAATGTTTTTTTTTTTTTTTTTTTTAAACATTTTTATTTTGAAAGGGTAATGCTCAGTAAAAGGCAGGTGTATCTTCAAAATCAGGGAAAATACTGTGCTTCTTGTTAATTTAGTACTTGACTACTGAGGGCAAGACGTTTGCAAATCCTTTGTTTCTTAAGCAGACTAAATGTAGTGACTTAATAACCTCTGCTTGTAGTTTTGTGTATGAAAAGCTAGCAAATTGTTGCATTAGCTTTATTTATTATATTTATTGATATAAATTGATTTAATTCATTGGCCAAACAAAACAATGCACCATGATTATGGTTGTGTTATTTGCCATATAGCTCGTAACAAGTTGACTGCACTAAGAAATGCTGTTAATGAGGGTTTGTTCTTTAGACAATCTATAGAAATGCCTCTGATGATGAATTAGTAAAAAAAAGTGACCAATCACTTAAACATCATTTAATTATGCTTGACTGCAGCACTGACTCTAAGCTTATCATGTTGTTAAAACACATTTGAACTCATGATGGTGCAAACAGAAAATCTATTTTGTGTTTTTTATGGTGAAACATTTCATTTGGATATCCAACGATATTTAGATTTCCTAAATACTATAGTGGTATTTTAAACGTCAATCAAGATTTTGTGAACCATCAGACTTCGAGCATCTATCCTCTGGGGATTCTTGATGCTCCATGGCACTTTGAGTAAAATACTGCCGAACTGGGTTTCTGTATTTACTCACATCCTCTCGGGGCAGTTCTCCGGCCGGTCTAAGTATCCTCCATCCATCACAAACTTTAGAACCTGTTCGTTGGATAAACCCTGGTAAGGCTGCTCTGCTAGCGTACTGATCTCCCACAGCACAACGCCAAACGACCTGCACACACACAAGAACAAGCACACGTTATTTAGTGCACCAGTAATGTAATGCAGCATTGCAGGAAGCAGTCAACAACTGCTGAGGTGAGACTTGCCAGCAGTCAGAGTGGGCAGTGAAGACTCCGTCCTTCAGAGACTCTGGAGCCATCCACCTGACCGGGAGCAGACCCTTCCCTCCTTTACGATAGTAGTCAGTCTCGTAAATGTCTCGGGTCATACCAAAGTCTTTTTGAGAAAGAGAAAAGAAGTGAGTCAATTTTAACTGTTAGCAAACAGTCTAACTTAATAAAACATTAAACCACATTCAGTACAGTACCTCCAATCTTGACGGTATAGTCTTCTGCCACCATGCAGTTCCTGGCTGCCAGGTCTCTGTGCACAAACTTCTTGGCATTGAGGTACGCCATGCCGTCTGCAATCTCTGCTGCCATCTGGATCATGTCCTTCAGCGTAGGAGGAGGACGGCCTGTCGGGTTGTTCTGTAAAAAAAAAAAAAACACAACAGAATTGAGATTGGTGGTAATGATGACCTCCACTAAGGTAGATTTTTAGAATGCAGAGACTTACCTCAGAGTCAGGCCTTAGACTACGCAGGTAGCTCTTTAGGTCACCGTGGGTCATCAGCTCCATCACCACCAGGCTGGGCTGACCTTTGGAAACCACACCTAGCAGACGTACCTACAGGAAGAGAAGACAAGGATACATGATGCACCTCATGATATTAACACATGCACTGGCTGACAAGGAAAGAAGACAAACATGTTCTAAATGAGTATTCATCTATTTAAGTCTGTGAAATTGTCACATTAGTACAGGTGGGACAAAAAGGAGTACAATCCCCAGACTGTTAATACCTTATAAATACTGGCTAAGGTTTAAAAATGTATATCATTTCAGTATTTCGCTAAAGTATGGGTAAGGTCAGTATGGGTCAGGTATTACCCCATCTTTTAAAAAAACTCTTACTGTTAACCACGCAGCCAAGATTACATATTTATAAAAATCCTCCCTCTTTTTGTTATTAAACTAATAAAGAGAGCCCACGATGTGATTTCTGAACATGACAGAAAGACACATGGCAGATCAATCGGTGCTCAGTTCAGCTTCATAAGATATAATTGAGTTAAAAGGTTTTTTCCCCCCAAGTCAAACTGTGTGTCAATATGGCTTCCCCAACACATTAAACAAGCTTTGAATGTATGAGTCACATGTTCATGCTGGGTTGGACTACATGATGGGAAGCTGTGATACACTGCCGTTCACAGGCTGGTATTTGTGAGTCAGTAATGAAGCGGTGTAAAAACTGTTTGGAGGTTGTCGTACCACATGGTGACAGCTGAAAGCCTTCATCACAGAGGCTTCGTTGAGGAACTCGATCCTCTCACGCAGGCTGGCTGATTCATTGACCGTCTTAACGGCTACGTGTGTATCAGGGTCTCCTTTGATTATGTCCTTGGCAATGCCCTCGTACACCATGCCAAAGGTGCCTTGACCCAGCTCTCTGAGCACCTGGATCTTCTCTCGGGGGACCTCCCACTCATCAGGAACGTACACTACACAAATAAAGTCAATGTTATGATTAGGATTATTTTCACAAATCCTCATGAGGCAGCATTTTGTCTTTTAATTTTTTTAAAACAGTTAATTTTTTTCTTCCTTTTATCTTCCAAGCTTATGCTTTAAAAGCACAATGTGTTGATTTTCCTAAACATAGCAGTGTTTTTTTTCATGATACTCTTCTTACCGTCATTGGCACTGAGGTACTCAGGGTTTGAGGAGGCGATAAGGGGTCCTGTTGGGCCCTCTGTTTGCCTATAAACAACCAAAGAATGACATTATTGAACTTTCTCCTGTCTGTTTAGACCTCACGGTCAACGTCTTCAAAATAAACATCCTCTACTTCCAATCCAACTACTGCTTTGTATGTCACCATTTGTGTCATATATCGTGACATGCATGTTTTAAGCAACAAAAAAAAGCTCACTTCTTCTTTAAGATCACAAAGACTCCTCCTCCCACGAACAGCAGCAGGATGAAGCAGATGACTGGGCCGATGACTATCCAAATCAAACCTGGGTCAGCTGTAATAAAACGCAGGGGTAACAGGTCAGTACATTTGAAAGACGCAGAGTGTGGACGACAGAAAAAAATGTGTAAAACAATAAAAAAAACTCGAGAACTTTGTTTTTAAATATATAAGTGACAAGTAATCTTAATGAAGCTCTAGAAAATGTGCATGTTTGTTTATTTAGATATTCAATTGAATTGAAGTAAAACAAATGATAAAAGTTTGTTGCAATGAAAACATAACATTTTAGATCTTTTAATTAATTGGCTTGTTTGGACCTTGCTAAAACATTCAAAGAGGAAATGGAATCAATGTGGGGAGCAGTTTTATGGATGACCAGATGACTCTGAATAATGAATGACGGGTGTGAAGTTCTATGTCAGATATAAAGCCCCGCCCCCACCAGTCTTACGGTTAGGCATGAAGAAGTAAGTGGTATCTGTAAAGGAGCCGTTTCCTGCCAAAGAGGTGGCGCGGACCTTCACGCTGTAGTTTCCAGGCTGCACAAGTGAGAGCTTGGTGCCACCTAACTTAAGGTAGGCGGCCGGGACACACAAGTTATGTGAACCTGTGAAAAAAAGAAGAAGGAAAAAAAAGAAGCCGCATGAGAGGTCATTAAAGATCAAGAACATGAAGTGATGATTTACCACTGATACATGATTCAACTTCAAAAACGTCAAACTCTGAGGGCAAAGTTCACAGATATTTCTCTCTGGACAGAGCATGTTTTTGAGAACACTCATTGCTTTGCATAAAACATCAGAATCACCAGGCATGGTCCTGACAAATCACCTACCGAGTTAGCAAAACTATTTTTAAGCTCTTATTTGGTGTTGTAGATCTGACTACATGTTTGTAAACTACAAAGGAAAGGACAATAAAAAAAATCAGTTCTATGTCTTCTAAATGGATTTATTTTAAAGCACAATATGTGTAACAATGCTGCATGGGTTTCAGAATGTAAACCTTAGGGGACAGGATGTAACACCAGTAAAAATAAAAGATCACAATTTAAACAACACTGAAGTCTGTGAATCTTTTGCACCAGTGCATTATTTGAGGTATCACTTCTACCTTCCTCAGGATGTGAATCAATCAATATTAACCAGTATTGGAAGGTTGAATCAGAAAGAAAAGATTTATATTGCGTTTCCACAAAAAACATAAATTAGGTTTTTTGGATAAGCAGGGTGCAAGTTGTACTGTAAACATCATTTTAAATAAAGCCAGTAGACTTTGTTCACGCTGAAGGATGAGAGTGAATGGTGTGTTTTCAGTGCAGTGTAGTACACTGGAGATGTCGTTGGAGATGCCCGTCCATCTCTGCCACTGCATTCTGCTCTTCCTTCCTACCTCTGTCACTATGGTAACAGAGCTGCTACTGGCTCCTGGGGTCAGGCGGTGCAGCAATGAATAGCAATGAGAGATGAATTCTCATTTACAGCAAGTAAACAACAACAACAACAACACACTTACATTCACACAGTGCTACTGATCCTCACCAAATGCATGAAAATAATAATATGCAAACCCACAAACACACACACACACACACACACACACACACACACACACACACACACACACACACACACACACACACACACACACACACACACACACACACACACAGAGGAGCATTAGGAATAAATACTTCCTTTGTTCCTCTCTTTTTATAAAGACTCTAAACTGACCTCCGAGTCCCCGACCCTCCTGTAGAACACCTCGTACATGATGATGAGGCCGTTTGGTGAATTAGGTGTGTTCCATTTAATCATCACATAGGGAGGCTCAGCCGTCACTATCTCATGGGTCACAGGGCCTGGGATGTCATCTGCTTTCTCTGTGGGTACAAGACAGAAAGAAATCCACTTAGAACATCTGTATTATTTGAGCACTTACTTGAGCCTTACTTTGAGCTAAATATCTTAATGTGAAGGCTCTTATAGTTCTGTCACAACATATATAGTAACTCAGCTGCCAAAATGACTGTACAGAATATTAAAACCGTCATATGAGTGTTTTGCATAACTTTGAATTTGATTGCTGCATTCCTAACTGCTAATAAACTCTGTGTTTATGAAAGTTGTGTAGTTTTTCTTACCCTCTGGCATAGTCCTAGCACTGACATAAGTAGCCATGCTGCAGCGTTTGAAGTCCGTCGCATGGTTGCACGCCATGATCTCTATCTTATAGCTGGTGAAGTGGTGCAGGTTGGAGATGACCGTTGTCTCCTTTGAGATCACTTTCAGCTCCACCTGAGCAGAGAAGACAAAAGATCAAATTACTCGGACAGCAAGAGCCAGACAAAAGTTAAGGTTACATTCCAATCATATACATTTATAAGAGAAATGTTCTTTTGAACACAAAAAAAGGCTTTGTGCAACCTGTAAACAACTAACAGTATTTACATATTCTTCTCATAGCTCCAAGTTTGAAATAACTGGCAGCAAACTATGAATACCATTTTTTTCTACAAACAGAATCCATGTTTGCAAATAAATGATGATCAAAATGTAAACGTTTGAGACCTTTGATCCCTCATCTTCTTGGTCTTCATCTTCAGGGCTGGCTGTGCTGGAGTCGAATGATGGCAGACTTGCGATTGTGGTGAGGAAGAGAGAGTTTTGGGTGGCGTTCGCAACTCCAACCGAGCGCCTTCGACGAGATGGTCTGTAGAAACAACGTTAGTTAGTCTAAAGATAGAGGCATTTAGTGTGAACTACACACTGACACATGACATATGGAGGGTACTCTGAACGTAATATTAACAGAGTGAAGCAAATCTGCATGACATTTGTCTACAATACCAGCTCCTGTCATACTGGCAGAGCTACCGGCCCTCACCACTGGGTGGTGCCAATGAGCAAGTCCACTTCAGTGTCAGTGATAAGAAGTGTGAGCGCACAACAAAGGCTATGAACTTTAACTAATGAAGACAAAGAAGATCTGCAGTGCACCTCTGTGTGAGGACAGAGAGAATCAAAGCCTATAAATAAGAAAACCCTTCCTTACAAAATGATCACATTAAGTGTCCTTGAGAAGTAGTGCCCTTTACCCTGAGCCTCTTCTTCACTGTCAGGAAGTGGAGCACTGAGTAAACATTGAACCAGCACTTGTTCAGGTAGGAGGAGAAACATAACAACACTTCCTGAATCCCTTTGCGTGATGGAAAAAGAAAGCACGAGGAGTTCTCCGTGCACCTCAGTATGTGCAGCTGACCTTGGTCCATGGGTTCAAAATGCAGCTGGGGTTTGTGAGAGTTTGAGTGTTTGTGTGTGTCCAAATGGCAGTCTGCATGACTGCACCCCTGACTGGCATGAATGATAATGGGCAAAGTAATCACTCCCCTAGGGAACCAGAGGGAGAGAGTGTGGGTGTTTGTGTGGTTGTGTACGGGAGAGGGTAGGAGGCACCAGGGTCTAGACAATCAGAACCTCCCACCTTAAGCCCCCCACAGTCGTGTCCTGTAGAAAAACAAGGGTTTGCATAAACACCACACACAGTGGTGGCAGACAGGGATGGACGGGAAAGAGTTGGCACAGAGTTTAGACGCACATCTTATTGTGTAGAACAAAAGGTGAGGGATCTAGTCTGGTTAGATAGAGGGGCTTGAGGGTGACTGCTACACAGTCACAACATAAAGAAGCTCCTTTCAGTGTTTGCTTGGCTACTGTTAACACTCGTGTCTGACTACAACAAAACTTGTAGAATCACTAAGAAGTTCAAGGGGGTGAGTGATCTATCAAAACAGTGCATATCTGTTGAGAACACAGAAACATTGTAGTTAAATGATACTGGGATGTGTACCTGCTCTCAAAGACTTCATTGTGGAGGTAGTTCTCAAAGGTCTTCCGGTACTCTATCTCCTCCTGCTCTTTCTTCAGTTGGATGTCTGTCTTGGGGCAAGCGCAGCAGCCCCCCCCTGAGGTGGGCTCATCTGTGTGGTTCCACTTCTGCTCATCCTCGCTGTCCAGGTGGGTCGGCGTGCGCGACGGCACCTTCATTCCTGAGCGATAGAAATAGGTGTGAGGCAAAGTCAGACAATCAAATGTGCAGAGAGCAGCAGCTGCTTTGTTTGGCAGACTGAAGTGAGGCAGACTGTGAATACCTTGGAGACAGTAGTCGAACTTGTAGAGGTCGCTGTCCTCAGGCTGCTTACGGCAGATGACCCGGTAGTGGGTGATGTTGCCATTGGGGCTGGTAGGGGGCTTCCACTTCAGGATGATTTGAGAAGAGGAGTTTGAGGAGGAGATGGGATCCAGAGGCACAGAGGGCTCTGAGAAGGACAAAGGAAAAAAGCAAGACATTGGTCAGAGTTTCATCAGTCCTATAACACTGGACCAAAGGTGGAATTCTAACTAATGTACCATGTTGTGAAAACATGAATCAGGCCTATTTGTGAATGAATGAAAACAGGGTTGTGTAGTAATACAGTTGAACTAGTCTGAAGTTTTGCCAACTTAAATTTTATGTTATCCAGCTAGGAACTGTAGCAGCCTATCAAATAAATGCCAGTATATACAGAACAGAAGACCGTCAATGCTGCACAAACACTAAAATAATAGTGATTTTCTACAGAACACACATTAAAAGAATAGAAAAATACAAGATACTCCCACAAAGTATGTTAGAAAAATCTGTGTGTTTCCTGAAGTGGTGTAACTCACTTGTGGCGTTGGTGCGGACATAGATGATCTCACTCTTGGCGCCATGAACCTGGCGCTCGTCAGACGCAGACAGCTGGGTTTTCACCATGATGGCGTACTGAGTCCAGGGGTTCAAAGAGCGGATCAGATGCCCGGGCTCGTCTGCCTTTTTGCTTTCCGTGTTACGGGGTGGAGGGTCAACATCAGCGATCGCCCAGCTGTTAGAGCCACATGCGTCCTGTCCATCGAACTCTGTCACATTCCTGTACGGACTGCAGCACATGGATGGAAAGATTTTAGAATGAATCAATCATCAGGTTCAATTGTTAAATGAACAATGAGCAGCATCAATGGTCATTTAATAATGATAGGACTTATGCACAGGTATACTCAAAATGCTTAACATTACAATGCAAACAGCAACAAGTGACTTATTTTTCTATGTCTTTTTAATGCCTTGCTGCAAAACTTTCAGGGACAAACAAAGTTGAAGTTCAAAAAAAGGTGACATCAGATTCTAAAAAACAAAATACAACATAAAACTTCTAATAACTTTCTAATAAACTAAAGGCTGTGAGCAGCCTATGTTGGTGGTTCTGTATCAGACTGGGAGTCACTGAAGGGTTTGAGGAAGTGTTGTTTTTTTTTGTGTATGTGTGAGGCCTGAAAGAGCTGGAGGCTTCCTATCGTTTGTTTTGGTAATGCAGTAAGAAAAGTTTATTGAAATTGTAACAGGTTCAATAAAATGTATGAAAGCAGCCTCACACGCTTGACTTGAAATATGATTCCCACAAATGTTTGCAAAGGGATAAATGAAGGGCAAACAGGTTTAAGTTACTGACATACTTTCTGAGTCCAAAACAGTCTGACCAGACTTGGTAATTGTACTCCAGAGACAGAGAGTACAGGTATGAAGATATGTTGTTTATCTACATGTTGTCTTCATTCAGCTGTAAAAGACTTCTAGCAGTAAGTAGTTGGTATTGATTTAAAAGCCTTGAACCTACTTTAACTGTACCAAGATCAAAAGAAATTAGTTGGGTTTTATCCCTATATGACTGAGATTAGAAATGAAAAAGTCAAAGGTCCAAGTGTTGAGCCTTGGAGAACCTCAGAGAGAAGATTGATTGAAGCAGGTAAGAACAGGACCCATAAAAACGACTGAATCAAAATCTCTTGATTCAATAATATTCAGAGTAAAATTCTCCAGACAGATAGAGCAAGGTAAACTTTGTTTTCCTGCATGCTGTGACTTATTTCAACAGTTCTGTATGTTAATGAACTTTGATGTGTTTTTGAAAGTCAAATGAATAGACACTTACGCTTCTTTGTAGAGAACCATAAAGCCCAGCAAGTCTCTGAAGTCTAAGGGCCAAAAAGCCTCCCACCTCAACATAATCATATTCGATGAGGTTTTGATGACGGTGAAGTTCAGAAGCTTGGTCTCACCTGATGGATTAAACAGACAGTGGTCAGCACATGCTTTTGGAAAAGGGTATCATACTTGGAGAAACATAAAATCACATATATCGGGGGGAAAAAAGTAAAGTGACACATCACATTGAGTAAGACGTCTTTTAGTGTTTTTTTATGGTTTTTTCTTACTTACCGTATTTTCCGCACTATAAGGCGCACTTAAAAGCCTTTAATTTCCTCAAAAAACGACAGTGCGCCTTATAATCCGGAGCGCCTTATATATGGATCAATTGGTTAATTGGTTGATCCATACTGGTTGTACACGGCGCTCAGCGACACTGACTCGGATAATGACGAGAGGGAGCCGGGCATGTTGGATGCCGTACTCGCAAAACTGTTCAATTCGGACACTGAAGAAGAAGAATTCGAGGGATTCGTGGACGGGGAATGAACTGAAAAAGTGAGCTTTACGTGTTATACGTAACTGAACAATGTTGAGTTATGCACTAACGTTTGAATTAGTGGTATCAGACTGTGTTTCTTTTACGTGTTTACAACTGAACAAGGCTGGGAGATATTGTGAATATGCACATTAACGTTTGAACAACGTTGAGTTATTGTGAATGCACAATAACAATTTCGAGAGTTACTATATTGTGAATGCACTAACGTTTGATTTAGTGGTATCAGACTGTTTCTGTTACGTGTTTACTGAATCAGGGAAAAGTTCCCCTCCACGTTTGGGAGAAGAGTGAGCAAGGCTGGGAGATATTGTTGATATGCACATTAACGTTTGAACATTGTTACCATGGGAGTGAACGGAGTTGTCAGAGCGCTTAATAAAGTTTGACTTTATCTGACTGTTTTGTTGACATTCCCTTTTTCCATCTAGTGGATGCATAACGCAACCCCAGTCAAACGTTTGACTGCAGTATCTTCTATTCTATGCGCCTTATAATCCGGTGCGCCCTTTATATGAAAACAGTTCTAAAATAGGCCATTCATTGAAGGTGCGCCTTATAATCCGGTGCGCCTTATAGTGCGGAAAATACGGTAATCTGATTTGAGTCTTCTGATGTTGAGTCTCTTCTGGTATCAGGCTTATTGTTATATTTTTCTATTAATTTATTTTCAGTTAAAGCAGCTGCACTAAGTGTATTTGAATTAAGAAGGCAAGAGGACCTACATTCAATTGAGTAAAGTGATGTAGTGATGTAGTGAAGCAGCTGGAGGGGCTTTGTATATGTACACAGTACATTTCTTCTGAAGTTTTCTACCGTTGGAATGTTTGCAAACCTTGGTTGTCTATATAGAAACAGTATTATTTCTATATAGACATACTGGCTGCAATTATTTGTTAAAGCCCCTCTGCAGTGCATTTACTAAAAACACTGTGCATTTTGTTCCTGTGTTAACATTCAGGATGTAGTGAAGGTGAGACATCAACTCCGACCCTAAGTAGCTACAATATGTTATGTACAAACCAATGAGAAGCAGGGGAATCCTTTTTAGGAACTTGAAAATCTCCAAGTTAACTTACAGGAGGCTTGGTCCCCGTTGTTGCGCACAGCGATATCATTCTTTTGGTTGCGGTCCTTAGTTCCCGTCACCTGCTCCATCTTTTCGATTTCAGACATGCAAAGCTTGGAGTTGTAGTGGAAGAACATTCGACCATGCTGGATGGTCAGATTGTGCTTGGACCAGTCCCAGAGCTCCCGCAGGTTTTGGTTGTCCAGTGCGTAGAAGGCGTAGACACTGAGAGAGACCATGGGACGACAGAATAAATTACACACAGTAAAAAAATACTATTGATATAAATGTATAAACCAGAATCGCAGCAGGAAAAAGAAGAAAAAGAGGATTTACTCTGCCTCTAGATGCTCCCCCCTGATGATGCGCAGCTTGCGGAGGAAGGAGAGGGAGACCAGAGCGTAGGCTCTTCGAACAGTGAGGTAGCCTGTAATCTCCTCAAGCTGGCCCAAGCTAGCCTCCAGCTCAGCTGCAATGTTATCTGCAAGGATACAAACATTTAATCTGGTAGCCATGTGGACAGATAAACACGTACATTCCATTTTCCACTGATCAGACAAAGTGGTAATGGAGAGTAAAACACATAGTGAAGAAGCTGAGTGAAGGATAGAAAAGGAGACGGACATATAGTATGAGACACAGAGCCAAGACAGGAGGCCCATAGCAGGTGGTGTTGTGTAGTTTTACTCACTTCCTCCTCGAATCTTGATGATCATGTTGCCGTGGAGAACAGTGCAGCCTCTCAAAGCCTGTGCTGAAGTAACCGAGTCGATCGTCTTATTTCCAACACACAGTTTGGGACACAGGCCTGCACACGGCGAACACGTCAAGCTGCACAGAGAGAAATACACACGCAGATTAGGGCTGTCCACATCTTAATGAATGTCGTGAAGGTGTGTGTCAATGAGTTGTTTAAAGAGCTATTACAGGCCCATCAAGAGGGCGGAGAACCTTATTGATGCATATCAACACAGACAAGAACATTATATGCATTTAATCCAAATAAGATTATTGTGTGTGACACATTCCCGAGCTGCCAAACAGATGAGGCTGCAATGTGCATAAGAGCTATCAGTCGACGTCACCACATCTCTGACACTGCGGAGCAAATTGACAGGATGCCCTGAGACAGTCGCAGCGACACAGCCGAGCGAGCCTTAGGTGGTTTTGAACGGGAGAACAGAAAATACCATGAATGTTTCTGTGTGCAGATATCAGAAATGGAATGAAGCAAGATTGAATGTATGAGGCGGGAATGCTCAGTAACGTACTGGTGTGGCGTGGACAGGGACCGGAGATGACATAGCATATTGAAACAACAAGGCAGAATCTGTTGCAAGGAATTTAAACTGACATACATTCCTGCTACTAGTGGGACTCCTTCCTGTTTGTTATATACGAGAAGCTTCTGGCCTTATATCGATTTAGGGATAATCTTAAATTCTCTCTACTAATCTGTTCTCTGAAGAAAATGATTTAAGTGTTCTTATTTCATAGCACATCCTTTATTCTACATCTCTAAACACGAAATAAAGATTTTCCAAAACAAACCGGTAGCCTAAAGTGTGATATTTACCACACACAACAACCTCTTTTACAGTGGGAAACAGTTTAAATAACAACACTAGTCAGCGCAGGGTTCTTCAAAATGATTAACACAAATGAGAGGCAATCAAGCAGATTTAGAATTAAGTATCCGTATAGTTCTCTCTCTATATTTCCTAGAATGAATCCATAGGCTTTTATGAGGGAAATTAGATTAGGTAATCTCTAATTCACATCTGAGCCTTCTCTGGTTTTATTAACACTCTGGGATGGAGGAAAGAGAGCCGTCTTATCCTGTGCTTCAATTACTTCTGGCGTACATACAACACACACACGCATCAATGCACGCAGAGAGCACAATCATAGACAACAAAAACAACTCAAGTAAAACACCAGCTGCAGTTCCCAACAGGCATTCCTCTGTTTCTTCCTCTCAGCGCAATGAGTGGCATCCTCTCTCCCTGCAAACAAGTGCTTGGGCACGTAATCACATACACACACGCTCGCACATACACACACATAAACACACATACACACACAGCGATGAGGCCTTTGATAGTGCAGCCTTTCAGGAAATTCATTCACAAAGGGCAGGCCTTGTCTAGCAAGCAGCCGTGTGCCCACCACACAGAGACAAGAGACCTGAAGCTTCATTCACAAATGAGCACGTTTTTTTTTAAGGATTTTTTTAAGCCTTCTCAAAGGAACATAATCCCTCTCTTTAATACCACCTCTAGTCTTAACATCCCTAACAGCAAAGCGGTACCTTAGACATAAACCTGGAGGCTGCTTTCAAATGGTGGTTTGCTACCTCCACAGAATAGAAGTCTTCCCCATCCTCCATATTTCTGAGAGAAGCAAGACATTTCAGTTATGCTTTTTCTCATGAGAATTAAATGTTGTAATTAAATGGATACAAAAAAAAAGTCCAACCATGGTTCGAAAACTCAAAGTGGGGGAGACAATGATATCAAAAAGCACCTTTTTTAAAGCAGTTCCTGTTCACAGGGAACAGTTAACAAAGGATGCTGTTGTTGACAGCGGCACCGGGGACCACGCAAGCTCTGCATGAACCGCTATTTGCAAGCTCACCCTGATTTAATTCTATGTTTATGCAGCTTTTATAATAATCCCCCTCTACAGGAAGCACAAACACACAACACAGTACACACAGTCTTTCTCAAATCATGCCCCTTCTTTCCTGTGCTATACCCACTATTCACCATAGTGACATGACACACTGATTCTCGGTCTTTTCTTATCCACACTCAGAGTGCCAAACAACCCATTACACACCTGACTTCTCCTAGTTTGCATCTTATCAAGCTCTTAATAATTTACACCGATCAGAGGTCAAATAATTGTTGCCCCTTGATGTCTCGTGGAAACACACTGTAATGATCTCTCTCTAGTTTATGTCTGTCTCCCACATGGAAAATCGTACGTTCAGCCTCCAAAAGTAATGCTCTAGTTGCAGTGTAGAAAGGGAGAATGTTTTGGGACGTTGTACTGAAAAACACAGACACACAGGCAGACAGGCTGGGTCCAGCGGCAGCTCTTAAAGGGACAGTGTTTATCTGTCCGGCTGAACCCAGTGACTCCAGCTCCATGGTCTGCTAGAACCATCTAGAACAGAGGCCGCAGCTGACGCTCGGGTTTGGTTTTGGGCCTCGTCCTGGCTGAACAAGACCAAGTGCACTCACGCGCACACTCACACCCTCTCACACTCAAACATGTTGTACTACTGGGCTGCCACAGAGTCCAGGAAAGATGAGCATACTGTTTAAAGTAGATTTAGGTGGTAAAAGAATGTCAGAGAGCAAAGCTACCTGTGTGAAGACACAGAAATGGTTTAGCTGCCTGTTCCGGATGATGTTGAGACTCAGGCTGTCACAATTTTCTATACTTTGATACTTGTCGATATTATGTTTTAAAAAAAAAGATACAATACTTATTATTTTAACGATGGGAATCGCAAGAATTACATTTTTCAAAAAACTTCTGATCGCCCACAAACCTGTGTATTTAAACCGTGATAATGGTGTACAAAAATCCATGTCATAACAGAACGTAATACCAATGCTGGTATTGATTAGGTTTACCACCCACATCAAGTTATTCTTGCACCTTGATAATAAATATCAAGACTCACATTACAGATACTTACATTTGCATTTTACTACTCAAAGACACCACATGGAGGTAGGATTCTAACAGCTGGTAGTTTATATTTGCATCATAAAAAAAGTGATGCAAACCTTTGGTCCCCTCTTTCCCTACTCCAGAACATCCTGTCTTCATGTCTATATTCATTGATTTGAGTCTTTTTGTGTGTCTGTGTACAATGTACAGTTTGTGATGTCTGCCTGACTGTCTGGCTTCTGCAGACTAAGTTGCAGAGAGGATGCTTGTTCTCCATAATAAATTCTCCATAGCAGCAGAAGAGATGCACAGAGCCCCTGAAGTTGCAACTGCATCAGAATTCCAATAAAAAAACAATATAGTTATCAAAATGTGTGCACAAATACATATTTAAGTAAGCAGACACACACACAAACACACAGAAAGGATGCCTTTCTGTCTTCTGCCTCGGGGTTTACGACTGAGATTTAAAGCAATGTTCTTTTCGGTCTAAGCACCTGATAATCCCTGCAGGCTGGCAACATGCAAGGGAAAGTCAATCTCCCTCTAAACACACACACACACACACACACACACACACACACACACACACCATTTCCACTCTCTTTACATGTGAGTTAAGTGTCTATTATACCTAATAGACAACCTACATGTGAATATACACCTCTCTATCTGGAGACATAGAACACACATACCTCCAACATGCACGGGAAAAAGTAACCCGATCCAACAAGCTAATGTGGTCACAAACACATTCTCTAATGCATGAACACTTTCACAGGTAAGCACCTATTAGAAAAACACAGCAATGCACGTACGCTGGTATACCAGCAACATAAAAACACCATAAATCATTCAGCCACCTGCGGCTTCAGGCAACATCTCTAGTACACATCCTGCTTCTTATTGGAGCAAGTTCACAGAAATACAACCGCCCTCTGGGCTTATTCTGTGCTCTTATTGTCTCCCTCTACATTTACCTTCTTTTGCAAATCCAATAATGTCATTACCTGTCTTTGTTACATAGACTGGATGTGAGTGACACCATCCATTGGTTTCTGAAGAGGACCTTTGAAGCCCAATGATGGCGGTCACCATGTTGCAAATACCGTCTCTAACTTTCTGTCGACCTCTTAACAGACATAGATATGAAGTGTAGGCTGGCCTTCAGCCTCCTAGCAAACAATTACAATGCATCCACCTACGCATAACTCTAAGCCTCAATATAATGTAAACTGATGAGTTGTTTAAAAAATTCACCCCGTACAGAGTGTCACAATAAAGACATTGGCTATTAATACCAATTTTGTTTACGCGATTAGGTTGTAAACAAGTTTATTTCTGCTGACAATATGGACATTTAAACATTGGTGTAAACTGGACTTCCTTTTGCAGCCAGCCTCAAGAAGACACCTAAGGTAGTTTTTTGCACTGCTGCATTTAATTTATTTTTCAACACCAGATGTTATACCCACACAAAGTGGTCCCATACTTGGTTAAGACTACTGGCATGGCTTAAAAACCCAAGCTAATACTTCTGTATATAACCTGGCACATTATAATGTTTTTTTTTTTATTGATGCCAGCTTGTCATATTCTCACTGCAAAAATGTTTTATCCTTATTTGCCAAACATGTGCATTAGGAAAGAGTGCAAATATGCATTTGTTGCTAAATATCATCATTTAGCAACAGCTCCTTAAGCTAAATGAGGGAGCTAGTTGTGTTTCTCTACTGCCTTAGAGTACAAGTAAGAATGCTTGCATGCAGATAAAGCTTTGTGTGGAGCAGGACAAGGTGAGGCACAGGAAGTTTTTATAAGTGCGTGAGAGTGTGTGTAGGGACAAATGTCTATAGCAGAAACATTGAACCTTAAATATTATAAGTGACTTATGACCTGAGTCTTATTGGTAATAATATTTAATGCTTTCAATTCAAATGAAATAATGTGATTGGACCAGTAAACATAAACTAAACATAGTTCACTGGTCGGTTACGCCCAGCAGTCTTATGGTAGTTCACAGACTGTAAAGTTCAGCCTGCTGTAAAATCCTTTCAACAGCTAAAATAATTGTCTATTAAGAGCATAAATACCCAGGCCTGTTATTACCTTGAGCGCACCATCGAATGCTGATGCAAAAACAATCAACACTTTGGAATAATTAGCGACTTAGCTGCATGATGACACAATGTCATTTTTGTATGCAACAAGAAGTTGTGGGTTTGTTATGGCTTTGAAAAGATGCAGCTGTGTAATCACTGAGAACAGAATGGGTGTGAAAACAAGGCTGTGAAAACATCGGCGACCTATTTACAGCCAATGTTATTAGAGGACTTATTTGCATATGAAGTAATGTAGAATCATGCCTATATGAAAACGATGTGTTTGATGCTACTACTCATTCAAATACTAACTGACATCACAGTCATGATCATTAGCTTTTTCTTTGGAATGCTGCTGTGAGTCAGAAAAAAAAAAATGACTGCAGTTTTTTTTTATTTCGCATATATAATATTTTTGTTCCATTTGCTGGCCTTCTCTGCTTGTGATGTGTTATTTGCTAACCTGCATGTTTTAACAGCTAACAGCAAACAGAGACTCAGGTGATGTTTTGCCCTTTTTCTTTGCTCCTCTACAACATCATTTTCCTCGGCTGCTTCTCCACAGATGACAGGAGTCTTTCCATAGCGTAAAACGATTTCTGCCCCTTTGTTTGATCAACTTCCAAACACCATAATCCCCTGTGTGCAAATGTGATTCAGCGAGTTGAGTGACTACTTTTTGTACTGCAGTCACAACAGGACGGTTTGTTATGTGTGACAGTCACGTCCCCGATAATGTAGAGATGACCCTCATCAACAACAGGGCAGTGTTTATTGTGGCATTAAATGTTTGTGTGTGTGTGTTTGAGTGTGTGTGTGTGTGTGTCTCATGGACATACGTAGTAGAGTTGATGGTGGTGTATCCAGAAGGACACTCTGGAATACAGGCCCCGTTGTGGATGACGTATTCGTAGCAACCCGTCTCCCGGTCCTGGTTGAACTTCTTGGTCTGCTTACACTGGTTGTGGAGCTCCTACATAAAAAAAAAAAAAAACACAAAAAAACAACGAACACACATATTAAACACATTCAACATTTTAAAAGTCTAAATTTCAGCTCAATATTACACCAGTTAGCCTTAAGATTTCAGTGATTACCAACCTGGCAGAAGGAGAAGCTGACACAGCGCCAACCCCTGAAGACGTAGTATCCAGGAGGACACTTCTCTACGCAGGTGTTCATATGCTGGAGGTTCCTGCAGGCCACGCAGCTACTTGCGTTACCAGGCTCAGAACAGCCGCCCAGGCACTGGTCATGGCAGCACCTGCCCTTAAGGCTACATGCACCATGCTTACAGTTGTCCAAGCACACTGAGAAAAGGCAGAAGAGGAGGGGAAAAAAAGCAAAGAGATGGTCAATATAAATTTTGATACATGTTTTATTTTGCCCCCCATTTGCCATTATGACTGTATTTGCAACTAATCCTGATTTATATGGCATCTAGAGACACATGGGAGACCAGTGGGACTTATCCAGAGGCAAAGTAACAAAATCACAAATAAAAACTGCATTGGGTCTCTGTTGGTCTCATTCACTCTGCCGAGCAGCTAAAGGCCCTGACACAGCAGGCAGACCGCAAAGAACTAATAGCGATGAAGACCAACTGCCACGTCGACTTTTGTCTTGGCCAAAAAGTTGCACTTGAACACACAGCAAAGACTACAGCCGACAGCCAACCACCACCTACGTCCTGGCATGCGTGAGAGGAAATAACTCACCATGCCAGCAGGCGGCGATAGTCCATTGTTATGATATGAGAAGACCATTTTCACATAGCAGTTTATTACCACTCTTAATATAGGTACTTCTAATCGAGAATAATTCCTGATAAAATATTGAAAATGGCACTGGCATTTCCTGAACCTATGTCAAGAGCTGGAGTTACATGAAACACCTGAACAGCCAATCAGAGTGATTCCTCCGACCGACGGCAATTCAACATGTCGAATCGGAACATGGCTGTATGAGCTACACACAGGTGTTCTTGGTAAGATCTTAATGTACACACGTAATCAAAGAATAAATGAAAATACACTGCCATCGTAGGGGATACAAGCCTATTATTTGACCCTCACTATTTTACACAAACACACATGATTAGACAAAAACTAATTAACACACAATCAAACCCCCTCCAGCTCTACAGCTGTGATTTGCATGCAAAGATGCAATTGGAGGACTACTGATTGCTTCACCTAGCATCCACCAGGGAGTCAGTGTCCACAATTCAAGGCTGATGGCCAACCGCAGCCGTCTGCAGCGCCATGGAAACAACCTTAATTGCTAATAGGGTGGACATTATATGTCACTGGCTCATGTCAGGATTCATTTGACCCTTTAAAGGAAACAGCATTCGGTGAAAGCAGCCGAGTGTCAATCGTGATTGGATTAGCAGACAGGTTTGACCAGTGCCCTGTAATGATCTAATAAACCAGCTGTTACTGCCTTGTCCGAGGCGAATTGAGACTCATTAGATCTAAGCCCCTATAAGGGGTTGGTAAGAGTTTACTGATGCTGGAGGTTTCGTTTTTAGTCTAGCATCCACTTAGGAGGGTAAAACATCTGCCACTGAAAAAAAGGCAGGTAAAACGAGCAAACTTCAAGATTAGGAAGCCGTTTGTATCTTTAGTAAACAACGTACACTTCTTGTGCTGGCTGGACTCTTGATTTCAATAAAGGCAGAGTCCATCCATAAAAAATCTGAAATTTCACAGTTAATTTTTACTTTTTATTTCTTGAATTAATTGGAGAAACCAGGAATATATCTAGCCTGTCCACGACCCTGTGTATAAATCACAGTCTCTCCCCGTGTTTCTCACTATACTGTCAACTCTGGTATCATGGGCTAACTGAATCAAAGAGTATCATTGCAAGAAGCAGATGAAGGTTAATTTCAAGCTCCAAATATCTAAAGGATAATTTGATACTCTATACCACTTAGGTTAACATTTACTTTATCAAAAAAAGAAAGATTCCACACTATATACTGTATTTGGATGTACTCCCATGATATTCAAGTTATCCTTAATATAAATAAACTCAAATAACAAAGTTTTTGTTGTCGTCATTGTTCCCTAGCAGTTACAAAAAATGGAAGAAAGAAGGTTTAGTGAGGTACACTATTAGCTTAAAAGTGCAATGGGGGCACTGTATGCCAGCCTTCTGTGGATGCCCCCTCCGTGAGGACATCACATGAGCTCTCACTGCCATGAATACAGCTAGGACCCCTTCACAGGAGGGTTGCCCATTGTTTTGCCTGGGTCAAAAGCAGAGAGGACAGATGGGGTTGTAGCAGGGGGAGTGGAGGGTTGCAATAACAAGGCCGTAGAAGAGAACAATGAAGTAAGGGACAGGGGTTCAAAGCCACAGAGGAGGAGGATGATGACTGACGGAGAAAAACATTATCTCACACCTTCTGGGGTAGTTCATGTAGGGGTCTTCATGATATATTTTCTAAACTATACGCTTGTAAACCCAATGCTGCACACAGTCATCTCTGACCCAGAGAGAAAAATGCATAGCTCCTCTCCAGCCCTCCCCCTCTCATCTGTCTGCTGTGTGTGTGTGTGTGTGTGTGTGTGTGTGTGTGTGTGTGTGTGTGTGTGTGTACATGCTGTGACCACAGCATCACAGAACAGCGCAGACACAGCTTTGGCAGATCCAGCTCCGGGCATCCATGCCGGATTTTAGCTCCAGCCCCAGATCCACCCTCAGCTTCAGCCAATGTGTTAGCTGACTGGGGGAGGCAGCCATTCAATGGCCTCTTCCATGTCGGGGAGGAGAGACGCTCACTGTTAACCCTGGCCTTGCTGGGGCAGACAGGGGGCAGACGCAGCCAAGTAGCCAGCATGCCAGGGGAGTTGAATCTGCTGCTGCTGCTTTGGGTGAATTAGGCGAGCTTAAGACTAGAGCTCAGTAGAAGAACAAGATAGCTGGAGCCTCTAAAGCAGCTAACATAATGTACAGTAATATAATAAATCAATGCACTACATTGGTGTTTTGTCCTCTTTTTCAGGCATTTTCTTTATTAATGCAATGTTTGTTCCACTTTTTTTCTCTTTTGTTTCTGTCGGATCCAAGTATAGAGGAGTCCTACTGGAGCATAACAACATTAGTGCATCAGCGCTATTCCCCATTCTTCTCACACACCAGAGCTACGCTACACGGACGAGCTAGCTGCTATGCCAAACATACTCCAGTCAGCTCACTCATTCATTCATCTCCTCCTCCACTGCCCTCCTCTCTATCCCTCCTATCTGCCACAGCCTCACCCTGCACCACTATCTCTCCCTCTATCTGCCTGCCTGCCTTTCTAGGCCACTCTGCCCCTCCCACTTTCATTCATACAACGCCTTGTTTTGTTTTTATGCCGACTGGATTGGGGGGGGGGGGGGTTGGTAGTGAGGAGTAGGAGGAGCACGCGGTAGCATCCTGGAGAGCTTATCTCTCATTAAGCTAAACACACACGTAAACCTCACTATGTCATTCAATAATTTGCTCGGCACTTCCCTACACACACACACACACACAAAAAAACACACACACACAGAGTTCTATTAAGGGTTTTTAAAATGCAGAGCCTGATCAAAGGTGTGTTGTGTTTACCTTTCATTTGGCCATGGCAGTAAAGAACCCTGGCTGCTCTGTCCCCGGGGAAGGAATATGGGAGAAGCCGGGCAGCCAATAGCGTGCAGCCACACATGGCAATACTTCCTGCTCTTAACACATAAAAACCTTAAAACCGCCCCTTTAATTGCCAATGTTGTCTACAGGCCGGGAACAATAACAAACACGTTTTTACCCCAGAGCCATTTACTCAGGAGAACACATGCACACACACGATCCTCCAACCCTCTTAGAGACACACACACACACACACACACACACACACACACACACACACACACACACACACACACACACACACACACACACACACACACACACACACACACACACACACACACACACACACACACACACACACACACACACACACACACACACACACACACACACACACACACACACAGCTGCTGGATTCACATTTACTATATTTGGCCACAGTGGGAGTCCTAAGCTTCAAAAGCTTTGCTATAAATGCTTAGAGTGATCTGATGTAAGACATTCACCCTGAGAGAGTAGAGGAGAGAGACAGAGGGAGGGGAAGGAGTGTAAACAAAAACAGACTGATTACTTGGACGCAGGGGGCAATACTGCCATCAGAAACATCAACATACATACATAAATATGAGACAGCGCACACTTACACCAATACAAACACAGTAAGGCAAAAAGGTGGGGCAACAAGGTGAGCTGAGAGAGGGTTGGGTAACAGATGGTTGAAAAAAAAGAGTGAGGTAAAAGACAATTTAAACAATTTTCTACACATGCTTAAGGTTAACATTAAGTTGGCTATTAGTTCTCATTGGATAGATTATCTTCACTTAATACATCATTACCAAACCAAGATCATGTATGTACAGCACTGAATTGACCCATCCCATTATAATAACCCCTGACCCATTCTACATTGTTTGTATTGGCAAGAGGTAAATGTAGTAGATAGAGAGTTGAAATGAGCAAATAAAGTGGGATTAAATACAGTGTCATTTGATGTCACAATAATGAGTGAAATGTGTCCCTTTTAATGTGCCAAAGTAAAAACCTCACTGGTAAATCCAGAAAGTTTCCAGACTTTTTTTTTTTAATCAGCTGTCATTTCTGAGTCTTTCTGTTGACCTTCTGAAGGTGTATCTCTGCATCCTTATGACACAAAATACTGTATATTGTCCACTATATCTTTATCATATTTCTTCTAGAGCCTCCACATGTTATTGTTAAGGTAATAGTTTGGCCAGATAGGCAGGATGTCCCATGTCATGAAAGCAAAAAACTCTAATAAGCTCTTGGGATCACTTTCAATGAATGAAGTAAATACAGAGATAACAGCCAGGAATAACATTCTGAAAGAGGAGTGTCACCACATCTCCTCCCATTATATCATCTCTATTTATATAATCCTGTAAGGCTGTCACCAAGACAATGATGGTCATGACACTGTGTGGCGTCAATTTACAGAGTGTGTATGACTCACACACTGTTAACTGAATCCAAAACAGTAAATGTTTGGAGAAGACGTATATGTATCTCAGTGTCGAATGGAGACAAGTGTTTTAGCAGGGACTGATCTTAACAAAAAAAAACCCCACTAATAATCCCAGGAATGAGATTGGGGGGGACCCCAGATCTGACCACAGATTAGTGCTTGTTTTAAACTATTTGTGTCTG